AATAACCAGCCTTTGTACACATTCACCAGGCTATAAGCAGCAGTTATAACAGTACAGAGCTAGTACATTAAGCTTGCCCTACATCAGTCCCTGCAGAAACCCAAGGATGGAAAGAAGGCTGTCCTCACCATCAAAAATAAAACCCCCAAACCAAACTACTTGGACTGAAAAACAGTTTCACCAACCTAGGGAATTCACTCCATAAAAGTAACAAAGAACCAAATAATCTTCTAGAGGATCAGTTTGGCACACCTGCTGAACCACCACCTGCAAATTGAATACGAGTGAACAACCCAAAGTTCTCCCAAGTATGGATATCACCGGGAGCTATGGTTAGCTCAAAATCAACAGCATCTCATCATTACATGAGCAAAAGAGGAGGGTGGGGTAGAAGGGGGACTGGACTCTCTGAGCCCATTGTAGTGGGGAACCATGGTTTCTTGTATCTGAAATGATGCTATTTCCTTTGCACATCCATTGTATGCCCTGTTCTGAAGAGAATAAGTCTTATAAATGTTTATCGAGGGGAAAATAATTTGCCTTGGGTCTAGGTGGGATTTTACTGTAGTCTGGAAACTATTGTAAAGTATGTATCCCTTAGTACTATGCTACATTCTGGTAACAGTGGCATGATTAAATTTTTTTGCATCATACAGATTTATTTTGTCTATGTTGATACTTTTTATTGCACTCTTCTTTGTCATTTCACTCGCTTTATTTTTGTCTTTAAAAATGTCTCCTCCTATAGTCAACCTTAACCTAAATTCAGCTGCAGAAGAGTTTAAATATACCCACAGGATCTATGATCTTAATCCTATGGCCTCCTGAGCATAGTGCAAAGATCTGTTGAAGAGGGGAAAGTTAAATGCATGAAGCTTATAAGTTCCTGTTTTGCAGAGACTAACTTGTCTGTCATTAAAGTAACAGGTCTGTAGTCTCTGAGTTGATATAAAATTTAATACATATAGCTGTAATATTTGTATGATAATCCTAAATTAGAGTAATATGAATTGTTGGCCATAGGAAGTACAGCATCAGTATAAAGAGATTGATGATCCTAGATTAAGAGAGGCAAGCAATACTACCTATATTGTAAATGTTGGGAAAGAATGTAAAAAGAGCAAGATGATAGTGAATTATTTTGAATTATATGACAGGTTCCTGTGCATGTAGTCTTAAAATCAGTTTGCCAGTGTCACAAAATTATTGTTGTAATAAATTAATAGTGTCATTGGAAGTGTAATCTAGGCTAAGTTTTTGTTTGATTCATTCATTCATGTATAGAGTATTAATATAAGAAAAAGGTACCCTAAGGCTATATCAAGGGTGCCACTTCTATATGTAATAAATAAATATCACCTTTTTTTTTTTTACTAAGAAGTGGCTCTGAATAAGAATTACTGTCACACAGCAACAAAAGATAATTCTGAAAACAGAGTAACAGCCTTCCTACTAAAGCCTCATTGAAATGAATGATGCTTCATGGGCAGCACATGATGGATTGTTCCCTTGCTTTACAAGAGATGATAGTATGAATTCTTTAACATTTTCCCATCCTTCATCCACTTGCATACCTAGCTGTTAGATACATGTAGGAAATATTGAGGAGCGATGCTTGTATAAAAAACATAAATCCTCGCCTGTGTATTCATAAACCTTATGATAGTTAACTAAAATAATTTTTCAAAATATTTATTTCCACTGCTGATACTGTTCATTTATCATTCGTACTTCATACGGTGCTTACGTACCCTACTGTGCTTTTCAGTGATGGTGTACGTCAAAACCCTGATGCTTGTACTTACATTTCCAACTATGAAGGTAGCTATGCCATAAGTTAGCCATATTTGATTCATGGATCAGACCCAGCCATCCACAACATTTTCACAGCCTGGTTTTGGGGTCAGGGTGGGCAGAGAGAAATGCAATTTTGTCACATTTGACGTTTGTGTCCCTATCTTTATATGGGCTTATCTGTATTGTAGTCTCATAAGAATCAAGTGAGTTCAGTTAGACTGATGTCTGGCCCAAGGTGAACTTTAGCGAAGCATCTGGTTAGTCTACCTTCCTTGTACTCAGTTTCCAGGTGTCCATGGGAGGAAGGTGGTGCAGCATGCATACCTTAAGAGCAATTTGGAGCCAGGCATTTAAAGGTATAGGCCTCTTTCATGGGTGGCAACCAAATAACTTGGATCTGGTGGTTCTGCCTTTTCTTTTCTTCTTTGTAGCTGATAAATCAAGCACTTTCCAGCTCGGCCCTCGGCATGAATATTCTCTCTCAACTGCATCTCTCTCTTAAGAATGCAGCGCACACTTGAAATGAAAGCTGTGTTTTTATTCTATTATCTAACAAATCGTTATGCTATGAAAAATAGATTACTATTAATAAACAAAATTTTCTTCTAAAAGCAAGAAATATGCACATCGTTGTAAGGAAGCAGCTGCTCTCCCTATTAGAATGGGGACTTGGCAAGTAACATAAATTTTAAAAAAAGATTACTTCTAAAGAGATCAAAAACATTGTAAAGCTCCAGAATCTTGTCTGAAATATGCAAACATAAAAGGAAGAGGGGTTGATTCACTATAATATGAAAGTAGTTTCTCTCTTTTTTGGCATTTTATTTTATAGAGTGCAGAAGATGCGATAGTTTGGAAAGTTGGAAATGAGTTAGAGGCTTGTACATTTCATTCCTGCTCTTGTGCAACAACCCTTTCTGCCTCTTTTGAGCTTTGTGAGTGGGAATTACAGTCCCCATTATTTTGGGGAAGAAATGTGTTTTAAATTTATTACATGTATGTACCCTCACATCCATCTTTGCATTTATTTGTTGGAGAGACATTTTCACAAAAGAGGCTCAGGCTGTGTACACACAATATTTTATTCTAGAATCAATATTGACTAAATATTTGTTTTCTATATAGTCCACACAGAATCTAGATTTATTTCCCCCCCCACACACACTCTATATCTATAACCATGAGTGCTGAGCTTACTCAGGAGTCTTTGGTGAGGTTGTCTGCGTACTTACTGTGAAAAAGCTTTTGACAGTGTCAAGTGTCACCTCTATCTATATGCTTGTTGACACACTTCAAAGAACTCTTAATAGGTTATCCTTCCTGAAGCCATTTTCGTTTGGTTTCAGAAAGATTACCTATTCTATCTGCTTTGTTTTCCTGGAACATGCTTTTCATTTAGAGTAAAAGGTAAGGAAGACAAAATGTGATAATGCCACCATAGGCATTAATGCAGCTCATATTCATAGGAATTAATATGGCTTAGCATGCAACCTCTCCCGTGTGGTCCTAGGTGGTACAGTTAGTACCAAAGCTGAATCTTCAGACTGGCTACCCGTTATTGCCACCAGTTAGAAAGAGACACAGATATTTTCTATAACTAAATGTTAAGCAGATCCATCAATATGAAGCCCTGAATGCTTGCCTCCCTAATGAACAGGAGATGCTATCTTAATGGTTTATTAGGCAGGGAGGAAAATATTTTCTAAAGCCTTACATGAGATTTATCAATGTGATGTGGTTTAGCAGTAAGAATAGACACAAAGATTATGAAAGGCTAAAAGCGATAAGCAAGATTAGAAAAACATTCAGTGCGATTGATTGCCATTTCAATCTCTCTATTAAACAGAAGGATATCATGTTGTGCTGAGATAAAAGTTCCAGTACGAGTGAGTGTAGGTAGAATACAAAGCAAGAACAGTATAGGGTAAAAACAAACAAAAACATTAAAAAGCAGATGCAGACTGTGATCCTAAGCAGCCTTACTTGGACATTGTATCAGAAAAACTTCAGTGAAGCTCATAAATGGGATTTTATGTTGTCCCAGGGAAATAGGAAGTAGCTCTTTTGATAGTTCACAATCTATAATCAGTGGTTTTATGATTGTAGGATGAGATGAGCCTTCAATAATGCAAATATAAATATAGTGAGAAGATACACAGGATAGTTTATCAGAACTCGGGTGATACTGTGGAAGCGCTTATTTCCCCCCTCCTACTCCACATTCCTCACCCAGGTATGCATCCTTACCCACACAGCAGCAAGGTTGTGAAGTTTCAGTTGTGCACAGAAGCATGCAAGTTGTAAAATATATAAAAACAAAGTTCCAGTAGACATTACAGTTCCACATACAGCTTGCAAATGCTACTTTCAGACTCAGCTGACAGTGTAGCACCATAAACTTATAAACCATCATAAAAAGGAAAGGTTTCATGGTGAAGTTACACAGGTTTTGCACAACATTCCTATCACATGTTACAGTATTGCAGTACCACCACCACCCCAACCTGGAAGTTTACAGTATATTTTTCTGGCTGCATGAAGTTGTGGTACCTTTAGCCATTGATAAGGCAACGGGTCATTAACATTAGTTTCCTTACTGGGATGGGGGATAGAGAAGCAATTTCTTCTTGGTTCGTACATGTCCTAGTTCATTGTCTAAGATCAATACCACCTGTGAGTCTCAGTATTTGCTACATCATGAGATACTGAAGTAGAGGATTCAGCCATTCCAAGAAGACACAGTGAAGAAGCTGTCATGCACTTTTTTTAAATAAATAAGAGCTGTTTGATTGGAATAAATAGATTTCTCTGGTGAAGTTTCAGAGTGCAGGGCAGCAATTTTTGGCAAGACATTCAAGCCTGTGTTTAACAGAATAGTAGACCTCTATAATTTAAATCCTCCGGGTCTTTTCTATCCTTAAAGAAAATGGGATTCATCTATCACTCTCTTCTTTCCCCTAAAGCTGAGTTCAGCCATTTTTATCTACTAGTGGTACAATATGCCCCAGGGTATAATCTTTTATATTATGCATTATTCTACTGGTAATAACAGAATTGTTCACCCTCACACACAAAGAGAGAGCTATATTTGAAAGTATGAAAAGATTTTCTTCCCAGTTTGTGTTAAATGTGGAATGTTTCATTTACTCACAAAATTAAAGTTAAGCTTTAATAGTGCTTCAGATCTTAATTGTGGGCATTAATGGGTACCTCAGTTGGAAGAGCATGAGACTCTTAATCTCAGGGTTGTGGGTTCAAACCCCACGATGGGGAAAAGATTCCTGCATTGCAGGCGGTTTGACTAGATGACTCTCCTGGCCCCTTCCAACTCTACAAACCTATTTATCTACTTGCACTTTGATGTGCTTTTGAACTGCTAGGTGGGCAGGAGCTGGGACCGAACAACGGGAGCCCACCCTGTTGCGAGGATTCGAACCACTAACCTTCCGATCAGCAAGCCCTAGGCTCAGTAGTTTAGACCACAGCGCCACCCACGTCCCCCCATCAGCCTCTGGCTCATTTCCAACTATCCAAACTGATGTTCTAGAAAGAACTGCTGAACTTTAAAAACAAAACTCATGGTCAAAACAATTAAACAGAATCCTATCAAGTTGATATAATAATAAACTACTTTCTTGGCAGAAATACTGCACTGTCTTGGAATAATGAAATCCATGAAATAATATTTACAAAACTTAATTGCTAAAAAAAGCTTCACTTTGATAATACTTGATCATGTACCAAAGCAGAAGACGCTATGTAGACGAAACATCAAGCCTTGTACTGGTTCAAAACTTTTGTTTGGAGCTGATCTCTAATTTTATTTAGTTTCAGATGACTCTTAAGAGGGAAGGGGAAGAGAAACCTCGTGTGTTTGGTATTGACCTACTTTCCTAATGCAATAGCAATAGTGATATATTGTCACTGTTTTATTTATAAAAACTGCTTCTTTTTTACTTGCTTTAGGTGTGGCACAGAAATGCTGGATCAAGCCTCATGTTTCCATCCTGGCCACAAAGTGAGGGTTGCAGATTTTTCCATACATTTATTCTCTGAGCAGTAGGTTTGTAACTCCATACAGAACAGACATTAAGTATAAGAGCATAAGAAGAAACTGCTGGATCTCCTATGGGAAACCCCTATGGGAAGTCTGCAAATAGAACCTCAGCACAGTAATTCTCTCCCCTCCTGTGGTTTCCAGCAATTGATACTCAGAAACACACTGCCTCCAACTTGGAGGCAGGGCTTAGCCGTAGTGGACAGTATCCATTGATAGCCTTTACCTCCATGAGTTTTTCTAAAACCCCCCCTGCACTCCGCAGGCAGGTGGGACCGATCCGAATGGTCCGCCCCTGCCACTTAATGAATCCAAATGCTTTTTAGAGAGTGGTACGGGACGTTTTATCTCATGTTGATGGCCTCCCTGGTGACCCGTTGGAATGCAGAGTTAATCAGGGCTATCGACTGTCTGGTTCCGATGTGCCCTCTCTGATCGCATGGAGCCTGGTCAGCCCCATGGTTTTCCCCAGAGCTGAGGGCAATGAAACAATCACTGAGACAGCTAGAGCGCTGGTGATGGAAAACTCATTCTGAATTGGGCCAAACACTGGATAGAGCTCAACGTCGAGCCTACCAAGTGGCGATAGCAACGGCAAAGAGGACCTCCTTTTCCGCCTCTGTTGCATCTGCAGAAAATAGCAGCAGGAGACTCTTTCAGGTGGTTCACAGTCTAGCTGAACCACTGTTGTCATCGGGGCCAGGTGAGAACCCCAAGATCTCTTGCAATGATCTTGTGAAGTTTTTTGCAAAGTTGCTCAGATTTGGAAAAAGGTAGACTCCACTGTGGGAGCAGGGCTGGGGCAGCGGAGTGCTGGAATCCTGTCTAGTCAAATTATGTGGGATCAGTTCCAATCTGTTACTTCAGAAGGTGTGGACAGGCTGCTTGGACAAGTGAAACTGACCACCTGTTTTCTTGATCCTTGCCCATCCTGACTTATAAAAGTGAGCCAGGCAGGGCTGGATGATCGGCTCCATGGGGTGGTGAATGCTTCCCTCTGTGAGGGAGTCTTCCGAGACCCGCTTAAAGAAGCTTCTTAAAAACCGCTTCTTAAAAAACTATCTTTGGACCCAACCTTCATGACCAACTATCGCCCAGTCTCAAATCTTCCATTCTTTGGCAAATTGAGCAGGTGGTTGCTGAGCATCTCTAGACACACCTGGAGGATGTGGGCCATTTGGATTCCTCCCAATCAGGATTCAGGCCTCATCATGGGACTGAAACTGCCTTGGTTGTGCTGGTTGATGATCTCCGACAGGCTAGCGACAGAGGTGAAAGCTGTTTCCTGGCCCTGCTGGATCTCACAGTGGCCTTTGATGCCATCAACCATGGCATCTTTCTGGACCATCTAGAGTTGGGAGCTGGGGGCACTGTTATACAATGGTTCTTCATCCTCCTGGGCCGTGTTCAGAAAGTGGTGTTGGGGGATGAGTGTTCAGACCTCTGGGCTCTCACTTGTGGGGTGCCTCAAGGCCCTGTCCTCTCCCCCATGCTTTTTAACATCTATATGAAGCCGCTGGGAGAGATCATCAGGGGGTTTGGGCTAGGTGTCCACCAGTATGCAGATGATACCCAGTTCAACTCTCCTTTAAATCTGAACCAGTGAAGGCAGTGAATGTCCTGTGTGAGTTTCTGGAGGATGGATGGTGGCTAACAGATTGCGGTTGAATCCCGAAAAAAGTACTTTTCTTGGGAGGTGGGCTGGTGTGGAGGACTCCCTGGTCCTGAATGGAGTAACTGTGCCCCTGAAAGACCAGGTGCAGAGTCTAGGAGTCATTTTGGACTCACAGCTATCCATGGAGGTGCAGGTCAGTTATGTGTCCAGGGCAGCTGTCTACCAGCTCCATCTGGTACGCCGACTGAGACCCTACCTGCCCTAACATTATTATTAGCCGACTGAGGCTCTACCTGCCCTAACATCATCATCATCATCATCATCATCATCATTCTTACCCATGCAAGTTGATGGCCATCAGTGCCTTTGTGGAAGCAAATTCCATACTTTTATGTGCTATACAAAGAATTACTTTCTATTTTCTGTTCCATATCCTTTTCTGTAAACTAAAAAATCCTAAATCCTGCAACATTTCTTCATAGGGGAGGTGATCCTTTTGGTAATCTGTTTCTGAACCTTTTCCAGCTCTACAATATCCTTTTTTACATGAGGTGACCAGACCTGTACAGTATTCAAAAAAATGCAGTTGCATAATTTGTATGAGGGCATTATGATATCAGCAGTTTTGTTTTCAGTTCCTTTTCTAATGATCTAAGCATGCAATTCTGCTTTCTCACAACTGCTGCACTGGGTCGGCATCCTCAATGAATTCCCCACTACAACCCCAAGGTCTCATTACTGGCCAGTCACTGCCAGTTCAGATCCCATGAGAATATATATGAAATTGCAATTCATTTACGCTGGCATACACCACTTTATACTTCATTATGTTGAGTTGCATTTTCCTGCCAAAAGGATGGATCCTTTTGAAGCTCTTCACAATGTATTTGTGTTTTAACTACCTTGAACAATTTAGTATCCTCAAGCAATTCTGGCTAACTCACTGCTCACCCATAATCCTAAATCACTTATTAATAAGTTTAAAAGCACAGATTTTTGGAGGGGTCCCTTTCATATCCCAACATTGGAGAAGCTATCCATTTATTCCTACTCTCTGTTTGCTTTTTCTTAACAAGTTACTGATCCACAATTTATTGATCCTTTTGCACAGGTATATGGCCAGCATGGCCAATGGCCATGGATAATGGGAGTTTTAGTCCAATAATGGATTCACCTGGAGAACCACAGGGTTCACTAATCATGTTTTAGCAGAAATCCAGTCTCCCTGCTGTCATCCTGGTTCAGGTTCTTGTAATCTCTGGTGAATAATGAACATAGACACAATAATGGTTATTTCATATGCAGTCCACAGTGGACTGGAGAACATCATTAAAAACAAGCAAAGAAAGATTGGTGGCCGACATGGAGTTGATCTGAAATCGGCATATTTTGCCTTGACATATGCTTCCCTTTTTTATTTGGGTATCAACAGTGAATATATTATATTTAAATTTACCTGATAGTTGGATTAATGCCATGATAATCCCTATGGAAGAAACTGCCAACTGACTGATTTGAAAAGGTGGTAATTTTTTCTACAAATTACAGCTCTAGTTAAAATAAACATCTGTAGCACTGTCATTGTCATTTCTAGGGGAAATACATATCAGTTAAGGGAAACTGTAAAATGCAGTTCTGTGGAGACTTCTGCAATCAGTTACATAGCTTGCTAATCTTAATGATTACATTTTCACACATATTTATTGAGTGATGTTTTGGATAAGTAACTTTCCAGCAGGGGTTTCCTTCAAGAAGCTACTAGCTTAAAATGCATTGGTTTGCAAATCATACTAAGTCAAGCCACAGCTTTGAAAAAAATGTTCTTGGTTTACAGCTCATGGAGAGAACTGGAGAGAGCTAAATCTCAAGTCTGGGGTTAGATGATAAAGCCAGCCAACTCATGGTTTAACTCAGCACAGCGCAGGAGCAAAACAACCAGAGAGGAGTGAAGTGGCTGTAATTTCTTCCCTGGGAGCTTACATGGTCACATTAATACATGCTTTGGTTTCACATGATGTAGAAACCAGCCCATTGACGAAACCAAAAATATTTAACCTAGGTAGCTACATTTAAGATAAAATTGAATTTATTTTCAATGGTTTACAAAGATTTATTCTATTAACGTTGGTGCATACCTATCCCACCTGCAGTCTGGACCTGTATACACCACCTAAGGTATTTATATTGGCCATGGACCCAATCTTTTCTTGGCGCAGAATGTTTGTTTCCTTGCTCAGGATGTGTTAGTGGGTTGCTGTTATTATTAGTATGTGCACCCCCTGTTTTGGCCTGTTTCTCAGTCTTTTTGAGGGAATGAGGGCCACTCCTCAGTTAAATATACACTTTATCAGTCAATGAGATTGCCCAAAAAACTGAGAATTTGCCTCATAGTGTATGGATATTTAGGAATGTAGGGAAGAAACAGAACATAGCGTTGACTGCAATTCTGAAACTGTAGGGTGACCTTCCATTTGCTAGTAATGAGCATTGTGCTTTTTTCAATATTTACCGATACTGCAAAGAGCAAAGGTGTAGCTCTTTCAGCAGAAGCTTCTCTGCTAAATAGAGTTGACTTGAATGCTTGACTGCAATTGGCATTGGGTGT